TATTTTAGTTTGTAGTCCATTCAAGTACCCGCTTACGTTAGCCGCTCCGTCGTAGCATTGCCCACGACAATTCTTGATGTCAAGATTAAAACGAAGGCATCCAATACGATGTTATACAGGGTGTTCATTTCAAAACTTTCCACCTCAATTTCTGTAAATCCGGAAGTTTAAAAAGAAAATCGCTGAAATAGGTAAAGAATAAAACCAAGGGGGACAACTTTTTATGCAAAAATTGACTCACTCACTTCAACCCCCCGCCGCCAGAAACCAACCCCTTAAAAATCTTAAATGGAAAGGGGTGTCAAGTGATACCTCATTTTAAAGGTCTTTTAAGGTACTACATGTTAGTATTTATTTTTTTTAAATTGATCGATTCGTTTTCGAAATTTTTGCGAAAATCTTTGTTTTGTATTTCCCGCTTTAATTAATATTAAAAACTTTAATCACCTTCTTAAAAGCAAGAATAAGTAATATTTTATTATTAATTTATAAAATTAAATTACCATGGTCGTTTTTACAACGACCATTAAACCTTTATTATTTCGGAGCAAACGGAAATATTTAAGAAAACTAAACACGTATAATTGTGAATTAAACTAAATTTTATTGAAAGTACTTTTGTTTTCTCTTGACCATTTACTTCTCCACTCGTAACATGGATTTAATCAATTTTACCTCGTATAAATAGTAAATGACATTCTTTCAATAAGACTTCATTCCGTTGTCCAAAATGTTTTTAGTCTATTCGTATGAAACTCCAGTAATTTTAATAATTAGTCTGAATTTATGCCATATGTCTGTATATTTCTTTTTGTGATCAAACTAACAGAGAGAGAATATATCTTTATTCGGTTATGGACCTACATGTTTATATAGGTCTTTCCGCCGTAGAACATTATTACAAACTACATACATATTTATAATTTTTATATACATAAGGCATTATTTTTCATTATATGTCACTAAGTTTTTCTAATAGTGTAGTCTTCTGTCCGGGATTTTTGTCGTTGTTTCTAGGTAAGCACATATAATTCAATAAATGTCTGTTCAATGTTCTGTTGATAAATTTTTGTCGTAGTAGTTGGAGTCTTTCTGTTATTGGTGTGATGTTTATCCGTTCGTATAGCTTTTTATTTTGAATGTTGTGTAGTGGGTTATTCGGATGGCGTATCTTTGTTATTATCCTTAAGCATCTTCTTTCCGCTTTATTAATAATGTCAAGTGTTTGTTTCGGTGCACTGGTAGTTAGGACATGTTCATACTCCAACACAGGTCTCACTATTGCTTTGTAGATGTGTACGGCCGTTTTAGTGGAAATTCCTTTATTCCCATACGCTAAGCTTTCAAAGTGTTTTGCTCTTCTTATTGCTTCGAGTTGTTTTCCTTTGTAGTGTTTTTTGAGACGTAGTTCCTTGTCTAAGATCATACTTAGATATTTGATGTTTTCCAATGGTCTTAATTTACCATGTTTTGTTTGGATGTAGGGAGAGTCCTCTTTGATGTTGTGGTAAGGTAGTAAGAGCTGGAATTTGGAAGGGTTGTATTTGGCGATAGTTGTATTGTGTTTTTATCGTGCTTATAAGGTGTAAATACATTGATTTAAGAAAAACGGGTTAAAGTTTCAAGTCGTAAAAACAAATTTTTTCAATTATAAATAACTTGTAGGCTAGTTCATTTTAGCTTCTTCATAAAATTCACTTTCGATCGCCAACTTGTCTTACGTCGTTCCTGCCAAGTAATTCGATGTTCGTCCATTTGTTCAGCGTATATTTTGGCTTGCCTCAGAGTAATTATATTTAATTTACTCATTATTTCCAAAATGCTAATGTGTCCTTCATTAAATAAACTAGCCGCAACATATGTACTAATTTCCACTATTTTTAAGCCAGAATTTAGGTGCTTTAAAGGCAAATAGTGGAGTTGAAACTTTCATTGGCATTTTGAGTGTGGCCCCCCAAATCTTATTAATAAATTTTCTTGGGATAAATCTTCATAAATTGAATATATGTGTTGCTGAACATCTGGATGCTTCATCAAGGAATCCGACCCATTTGATTTAGCTTTTTGTCACTCGCGCCAGCTCTCGGATCCTGACGGACAGTATTGGTGATTTGGATGTTCATCTGTAGAGCACATGTGGTAATAAGTAGCCATTATCGCTTTTTTCATGTCCTCTGCACTGTTGATATTTCTATGGATAGCAAGACCGTAATATGTGGTAAGTTTTCTGATTAGAGCATCTGTCAATTTTCCTTTTTCGCCAAGTTTGTATGTTTTTTTATGTTCCGTCGTCGGGAGCCCATCCTGTTTTCAACATGTCCAACACATTCATTTTTAATTACTGGAAAATCGTCACCATATGGATTTTGTTCTAAAATTGCTTTGAACGTTTTGGAATCTTCGTCCCCTATTGCCGTATTTTACACCAAACTTTTCTTCGGATCTCAAAAACATCTCTACAATTGCATCGACTTCCGTTTTACCGGCAGACCCTTCGTAAGTTTTCATGCAATTTTCTTTGTGTTCTTCATACCAATCACTATATTCTTCTGTATTTTCATTATTTTTATAAAATGTACAGGCTTGACAGCAACTGCTTTTTACAGCTACATGTTACGCCGTATAATGATTTGAATCCGCGCTTTTGTCAAGAACCATCAACAGATTCTTTTAAATTCAAGATTGGCCTTTCTTTCTTTTCGTCTTCAACAGCTTTTCCGCTGAAATATTCGAACACCGATTTGGTGGGTGAATGCTGATGTTTAATAATATTATTGTATGCACTATTACTCAAACCGTCGCATATATCCATAAAATTGCAAAATAAATTTATTCCTTGCCTCCCAATGCCCAGCAGACGCATAACAAAAACAATTCTACGATTTACTTCATAACCAGTTTGAATTAACGGTCCTGAATTTATGTCTCTTCGGCCACAACGACAAAGCAATAGGAGCTTGAATCCAAGACCTCTCGTTCCATCTACTTCAAATTGTATGGTATCTTTACATTTGCAACAAATAGCGACATTAGCCAAAGCACTGAACACGGTAAAAAACTCTATCAAACGTTACGAATGTTGACTATTCGGTACAATATGTTCAGTTCTTCCAGTGGACAGTTTTTTTGCACTTGCACTCTGTCCTGCAACTTCTTCTTTTTTAGTATGCTGATTCCCATGAAAATGGCGTTTTCGCGCCCTAGACGCATTACTACATTTCGGATAGGAAGACATTTTGAATATTAAGAGTTATATTATATTAAGAGATATCTCACATTCAAGACTAAAGAAACTCAAATTTGATGTTTTGAATTTATACTATTAGCATAATATCCGATTTAGTGGGAGGGATGAACAGAAGAGCAATAATAGATTTTTCCCAGCGATAATTATTGCCAGTACTATTTCTCAGGGTCGTAAAAACCATGCGAAATATCGGAAACTATACAACAATTTCAAACAACATCGATTTTTATGACCATCATAAATAAAAGTCGGCCAGACAAGAACAGGATCTAAATTCGTTGAAACTAAAATTATTTTAAACCTATTATTTCTCTACAATTTGCAATAAAGGTGTATTTCTTAATGCCGCCCTTACTGAATAATCCCGTTTTTGTCCGTTTTATTCCCACAGAAGTAAAGAGACGGAGTTATAAAAATCGGGAAGACTTGTAGATTGTTAACTATAACGTATTTGTTAAAGGTTTATAACTTCTACAATTTAAACCATTTGAAATTAAAACTTCATAGAATCAAGAGCTTAAACAAGATATTGCTATAAAAATAATCGATTTTTTTTATTACGTGATCATGCGTGAGTCACGTGAATAACGCGTGAGTCACGTGGTTCATATGTATGATATTCACGAACAACGGGCACCGGGAAAATACGCTATTTTAACGGAAGTACTTAGAATTTCGCTTTAAAATTTTGCTATCACATTCTTAAGATGTTCAGGCAACTTTTTATGGAAAAAAAATTTTTGAGTTTTTTGACGGTTCTAAATGAATTTCCCCCCTTAAAAAATATTTTTCACAATCAGAAATTGTTAACGTGAGAGCTAAAAATTTGTATATGAACTGAAATGAATATTTAAGGCTTTGAAATCAGCAGAAACTTCCGGTTTTTTTTACTTTTGAAAAAAAAATGTAGCGCAATGATTTATAACTAGGGCTCGGATTTTATGCAAAATGTATCTTCTTCATTTTCTGGAATATTTTTTTCAATAAACAACAATAAACACAATAAAAAAATTGCATATTTTGTATATTTTTACGATTTTTTTGGTTGTTGCATAAATTGGCCTTTTAATGCATATTTTCGCATATTTTGTCATTTTACTAGATTTGTTTCTTGTTGCCTAATAAAATAAATATAAGTTTTAGTTTAAAGCACAATGCAGGATATTTTTTGATTGCGGCTTGTTTCTTGTTTACAACGATTCACAGAAACATGCGGGGAATCCCTAGCGCTGTTATCTGGAGGAAATCTGAAATACAACAACATGTGAAAAGTGCAAAACATATACAACAATGTGATAGAAATAGATTGATAACAACTATAAGAAAGGTATATGTTTGCATATTACCGCATATTTTTGCATATTTCGAATAAAAAGCTTGCATATTTATGTGCATATTTCCTATAATTTGACTGCATAAAAATTCGAGCTCTAATTATAACTTTAAAGGATTACTTTCATGGAATCAAATTTATTATAGATGTACCAATACTTTTGCGTGAAACTGTACGCATGTTGAGATAGGACAACGCTGATTCAGGTTTACGTAAATCAAGTGTTAACTGCATCATACTTAAAATACTAAATTAATTTTTTAATTAAATATTGCTTTTAACAAATACATAAAAAATAATAAAAATAAATTATATCTAAAAATGTAAAATAATTTAAATCGTGCCATCTATTAATGGGAAACCAAACTATACTTGTCACTAGATGTCGTTTCAGCGACGCATAAGCCCTTTCGTACGTGACATTTGGACGCTTTTCTGATTTCCATTCAAAGAAGAGTTGATCTCGAAGAAGATTCTTTGGTGGTGTCGGTGGTCTTAACAGTTTTTTCATAAACTGCGCTGTAGAAATGTCCAAATATTGCATATGGAATGTTTCTTGTAACGTTTACGTCAAACTTCCGTCAATTGTCACCGAATAAAAACAAAAAAGAGGCATTTTCAATTCTATATTTCGAAGCTGATTAAGAACAAGATGTCGGCATGGATGAGGTAAGAATTTTTATACAAAATGTAAAATGAACAGAAACTTATATTATTTTATAATACTAAATGTATTTTTAAAATGGGCATTTACTTACTTACTAGATTGATTATATCACTTACTTCGTTTTATAAGTTTGTTTTTGTTATTTTTTCTGGCTGCTACTTAGGGCTTAATCCTGTTTGCATCCCAAATAAATAAATAAATTCAATTCCGGGGGCAATGATTTCTCCAATACCATGGCGCGCCACCATCACAATGCTGTTCCTGTTCGAGTTTATTTAAACCACTGTGCGAAATACTTTGGATGAACAAAAAATCAAAATCCTAAAAGTTCAGTGAATAATTCTTGATACCTTATTGAATTGTTAAGAAGATTTTTAAAATCGTTTAAGAGCTGCCCAAGGTATACTATTTGAACATTTAGCTTAAGTTTAATTTTTTATATATTTATTTGGATAAGACTTTCCAAAGACTACTTTAGCTGGTGGTTCCTGTAAGGCTACATAACACTTCCTCAGCTTGAATTGTAGTTGTTTAATTTATAAATGATTATAATATAATACAATATATCCATAAATAGTGTGTCCTAAATCTATCATAGATAAAAATACATTGAGGACATATACTTCTTATTAGTTACAATAATACTTTTCTATTGATATAAAATGTGAGATATATTTTTATCTAATATATTTTTTTAATATTTTAGGTGAGGCCAACCCTCCAAAAGTATAGATAGTACCGATTTGTCTCAGTTGTGCACCAGTTAACCGTGCAATGAAACTACAAACACCTTTAAGAAAGTTATTTTGATTAGCAATATAATGACACCAATATGGTTTTCCTCTAGTCTAACTTTTTTCCTCAGTTTAACAGGTAATATTTTTTTTTTGTCAAATTTGTTCATAAATTAATCAAGATAAAATTATAATCTTTTTGTGTGTATTGGGTGTATTGGCAACTTTTGGTATCAATTTGATTCGAATCAGATTTGAATATTATTGAATACTAGATTTGCTTCTTATCAATCAATTTCAATTTTTAAAATTAAACTCAAAAAAATAACTTTAATATAAACTTAAAAATTAAAAGCAACTCCTAGAATCGATACACTATGAATTCGAGCCAGCATCAGTATCAAATATGAATCGAGTCGGACTCAATTATCACTGACTCGTCGCATCATTAGTTAATGTGTTACAATAATGATTCTATATTATGACTTAAAATCATAAAAAAATCTTGTAGGTCTTCTTTTGCTAAATCGCAAAATCTTGAAAAAATGTGTGCATGAAATAGTTTTTATCTGTTCAAAGAAAACTTCTTGTAAATTGCACAATGGATCTTTTATAATTAACCTCTAAATTGTAGCCAAAGCATGATTTATCAATTACATTAAATAACTAGCAAATTTGAAACAATATAATACAATTTTCACTAACAAATTAATTTATTGGGAAAAATGTGCGGGTTTTCACTCTTAAAGAAATGTTACCTATTAGGACATCTCCAAATACTTTGTTGTTTACAACAATAAAACTTTAAACTAGGAAGTGTTCAGATAATTTTAACAAGTTTTACAATGTTTCAATATAAAACTAATAATTTGATTCTTGTTTGTAGACTCATTCTTCACGCAAGTAATCTTACAAGGGAAGTGAACGGTGTGTATACGCGTATAGTTTGAAGACGAAAGCAGTTACCAAAATGTGCTAAATGTAAACTACATTCATTTTTAAACAGCTTTTCATTGATATATCACACATATATCTGAGGGCTTCAGGGGGTAAACTACCTCTACTTTTTAGGAATAATTTAAAAAGTACCCTGTCGATTTTGGCGGCATTAAGTACTCTTATAGTACGTTTAAAAATATTAATTACGTGTTTTTTCTCATTTGCCTCTGACCATCCTCTGCAAAGGTACGGGGTGTAATCAGATGTTAAGTTTAAACATTTATCTATACCTGCAGGATCAATAGGTCAAATTCAACCCCTGGATGTATTTGGCTTTAGAATATGGAAAAATTTTATTAGAAGATTTTCTGATCATGTTATTCTCTATTAGTACGACGTCAATTTGCATCAGCGAGATAATATTTTAAAATTGCATTGTCTAACGCATAACAGTTGTCTTCCCCAAGATTTATTAATGTTTTTAAGTAGGCGTGGTTTGCAACTGGATATATAGAGGAGAGACCAGAACAGTTTGAAAATCCCGTGGAGGTTTGATTTTCTAATAAAAACCCAACGTGTGATATCTGTGGAGATATGCTATTATAATTTGCGCATGGTGTAAACAATCTTTGTGTTTAAAACATTTCTTCCATGATTTTCATTATTGGTAACAATACATTAAGTAAAACAAAGAAATTAAACTAATAATGTAGAATACAATTAATGATATTAAACCATTTTTGCAGTTACTTTTAAACTCATTATNCAAATTCGTATTCACCCACATCTGGTGAATTTGGTTCGAAGTTGCAAAAAAAAAGTGGTTCAATTTATTTTTAGAATTTATTGTGGAATATTTTTCTGTTCTTCATAAAAATCATTGTCGAATTATAATAATAACTATTATTTTAATCCATATTCTTCTTTAAATGTAAAATGTAAAATCGGCTAAAGAACGGCGGAGTAATTAACAATTAATCAACAATAATTAACGGACAAATTTATAACACAAATCAAAAGATACCCTTACTTATACGGAAAATCACAAAAATATTTTCAACAAAATCGGCCACTGTTTACGGCACTTATATTCACAAACGTTTTCCCGACCACATGTTTCACGTTAAAACCAATTAATCGGTATTAATTTACGCGCACCTTAACACAAAACAATTTCAGCAGTTGGGTGATGTTCGGGGCAATCCTACATGGGCAATATTTTCAACGGATGACCATCAGGAATGGAGTAATTTAATTAATTACGATGCGGGATGATTTTCGGTGAATTATTGTATTAATAATAAGCGGATCTTTAGAATCGTTCAACGGTTATTTCATGATATTTGTAAAATGTTTGAAATCGGTTTGATCGGTCTACGATTTCTAATTCCGCATCATAAAAAATAGTCGCTATACGGTAGCTCGACGGTAGCTCGCTGGCTGCTGAAACTTCCTCGGGACGGTCGGCTGGACTGATAGAAACATGTGGCTTGTCGTATCTTGTTTGGAAATTCGTTAATTTCGGAATTATTTAATTATTTGATAATAATTTTTCGGAAAGCACATGTTTTCGTGATTCAGAATTTTATTAATCACTTTCATTTATTGATGATTCGGTCAGGGAACGTTGTTGGAATTTAAGATAACGGTTTCGAAATGGAAAACGGAGAAAATCAAAGTCTAATTAAGAAAATTATCAAAATTAATAAAATGTGAATTGGGTTGCATAAACGGGCGGTGATAAGGAACGTATCGGGTGGAAACTGTAACGTATCGAGGTAGTGTGGGAAGTATACTCGGATATATTTAATTTTCGGTAACTTTTCTGGATATTCGGTTTTTGAAAAAATAAAAATAATGTAACTGCGTTACACATTTAATGACTGTTATCAGTTTTTCGGAAAATGTTTTAATTGTTTTTCTTGCTAAAATTACAATTAATGTTAATGTATTGTACAGCAATGGGTTCAGAAAAAAAATCTGTATCCAATAACGCGAAGGAAAACATACCGAGCAATTTGAAAATCTGAAGTTGATAATCGCTTGAAAACGAAGATGACGTTGGAAAAAGTTTATTTGTAGCATGAATCATAGTATTCATCAAACCATTGCATTTGATACCTCGTTCATGAAAATCGGAATGTAAATGGCAGAGTTACAGCTTGGGGCGTTTTTTATCCGACAACTATTCAATTGCCCCTGTACCTGCAATTAAAAAAATATTAATTATGGATTATGGATACTATAACAAAATTGGTAGTGTTTAATATTTTTATCTTTTTATTTGTTTAAGCGCCATTGGATGTAATTTGATATGGGATATTATGAGAAAATACTTGATTGATAGAAGTAATTATAGTTTCTTTTCAGCCGTATTTCTCCATTGACATTTTCTAAGAATAAATATATATTTTTTTTATGTAACGGCTTCAGATAATGTCATTCCACTTTTATGAAGGCTGTACAAGCTCTTTATCTCAATAATAGAATCGTCGCCTATAGGTCCTATATACCAGAAAAAAATAATTACTTTTAAATTTTAAATATAGATTAACAATACCATCCGGCGATGCTCCCAAAAAGCCATTATGAACATCTACAAATCAGCCAGCAGGCTTTACTGTAACGCCAAACTCCCTTTCAAATCTTGCACGGGCCACTATTTCTTTTTCACTGCCATAAATCATACCGGCACTTTTAAATGGTTTATTATAAAGTAACCGATACAATAAGTTTTGTGAAGTTGTCGTTTGGCGTCTTTTAACAACTTCACCAAAGTTGGATGCAGTTAGTCAACTTCTTTTTCCTGAACATAAGTGTCACAAGCATACTATCCAAGAGTTTGCTCCGCTATTTGATTGCGTTGCTCTGGTGAAACCTGATATTATTACAATTATTTTAATTTTAAAAACAACGTGCTAGATACATGCAGATTTACATATCCACTAATCTACAAATCACTTGTAAAAAAAATCTACATACTGTAAGCTAAATTATATTGTAAGTACACAAACCCTGAACGTTGTCAATGTGCAAAAATAATGCTAGGAAAGGCAACACAAAAGAATACATGAACTATTAAAAAGCATGAAGAAAAGAATGCTACTATGCAATACTATTACTACATATATTATAGTTGTACCCTACACACTAAATAACCTGTACTTCTGTAATGTCAGGAGTACGTCTGAAAAATATAATATTTATGAAATAAAAATATATATTCTTTTTTAAAGCCCTTGTTCGAAATTTGAAAATAACCTGCAGCGACTGCAAAATTCTATCAGACTCGGAAGCAGCCTCAGATGCCGACAGTTTCCCTTGTTTTGATTTATTTCCGTACTCATAATTTTGTTTACGGTCATGAACAGGTTGTCTTCTTTTCTTTGTTTTTATCTGCATCCTCCTTTTTTGATATTTGTCAATGTATCTTAAAAATTGCTGCCCAACTTGTCCACCTCCATCTTTTTGTAAGCTATACTTTTGCAATGAATGACCTACGATACAAAAATCAATAGTTATTATTGCTATACAATAATTAGCGATAATTTGAAAAAAATAAAATACCTTCATTGTAGCGCAATGCTGTTATATGTGCTCGCGTTTGGAATGTACCTCTCTGGGTCAAATTTAACCTTTTTCCTCAGTTCAATTTTGCCAGCAACGACATATATAATTCTGCTTTATTGTTCACTTCATTGTGAATCAATTCATGAGCTTTTTTTAATAAATTCTCTATTGCGCCTATGTAGAAATAATTACAGTTAGCAATAGTATACAGGTGATCCAAAAGTAGGCAGCAAAATTAAAATCCCATGTACAGCAACCAGTTTCAAGTCGAAATGAGATAATAAAGTTTTTCTGGTCGGCTTTTGCTTTCGAGATATTCGACATTAGTTTTATGTGGGTGTGACATTTTAGTCATTCAGTTCAACTCGAAATTGGTTGTTCTACACGGGATTTCAATTTTGCTGCCTACTTTTCAATTACTCTGTATCTCGTAATAATATATATTAATACCATACCATTTATGTGATACAAAACTGGTGATTTTTAAACACGTGATTTATCGTGTTCGGTATTTTTGCTTTGAGACGTATAACATCTCCCTTGCCACGATCAATCGCCCTTTGTGCGCTCTTTTGCAGTTCTTTTGTAATTGGGACGGTAAGGTATTTACGCCCTTGCGAATTAATAGAGGTGTCCATCTTTATTTTGTGCAAGGATTTTCCATAATTTTTTATTGCATGGTTTGTGCATTCGATTTTTTCAACTGCACACCCATACGGCACCTTTCGCTGTATTTGATAAAAAACACTGGAATCCCATCAGCTATAAATTTTAAATACATCACTCCACCTTTCTCCTGTTTTAAGAGGCCGCCCTGGACGCTTGTAGACAGGAGAGCACATGGCTGTTTTAAGAAAAATATAATTATACTTGCAGTTTTTTACATACCACTTCACTGTTCAGCACATCAGCAAACAAATTGTGAATTTAGCAATATTCATAAGAAAAATGTGCGTACAGTTTATCCCCAACTTACAAATCGAAATTGGAATTATTCACCAAGTCGGGGGTTCTCTGTACGCGTTTAAGTGTAGATACGTTTAAGTGTAGATACTTACCAATAATAAAAATATAAGATTCACTAATACTAACACAATAAAACAAACTTGCACAAAAAGTGTCTAAAGTATATAAATGTAACAATATAAAATAACTAAAATAAAAATAACCATATATAGACCACGAAAAAACACAAGAAATAGATATTATAATAACGACACGCTTTCATACGAGCTTCTGCAAATACGCTATGAACGTTTACGGCATCGAAATAATGAATAAATTTTTTATGAAATAAAAAAAAATTACGGTGCCAGTCGCACATTGAAAATCCGAACGCCGCGCGCGCCACGACGGCACTAGCGCCCTCTCTACAGCAAGGTCGTAACTATATAAATTTTGTTTGCACTTTTAACAACCTCAGCGAATTGAAACGCGGCCTTAACAGTTAGTGATTGCTTAATTATTTTTTTTCTCAGAAATTATTAAATTTTCGAAGAACATCAGAGAGACAAAAAAGTTTTAGAATAGTTTTATCTATCTACCTGAAATTTTTCCAATGTATTTATCATCTTCATAAAAAAAATGTAGGCATAAATTGAACGGGGGTGGTTACGTTTAGTAGTTTAGAAGGGTAGGTTGAAAGTACAAATAGGATCAAAACGTGCCCTATTATGAATTAAACGTTAAACTAAAAGGGGTGTAGCTCCTTGGGGGAACCGAAGTCGCCCATGGTTCAATGTATCAAAGTACCCTTAAAATTCACTAAAGAATCACCCCTTGAAGTTTGTTGCAGTCATTCAGATACACTCTGTATAAGGACTTTTTTTCGTTAAAGGAATGAAAGGAGGATTGTATGATTCAGGAATGGCTGTGTGAAATTAGTTTTTAAGATATTAATTAATCATTACCGTACCTCAGATCGTCGAGGTCTATGTCCCAAAATAAAGTTGTAATGTGAAAATAAATGAAAATCCGGAATCTAAATCCGTTGTCGTAATTTATCTAATTAAATACGAACTTCACCAGTGAAAGATGAATCCGATAACTACGGATTGGTAATCGTCCCAAAAATTTTATAAATGTCGCAAAAGTACCAAAATCTCTAACACCGTGTGTTCATTAGGACAGCTAACGTACAAGAAAATGAGTTTCCGAAAACTCGTTTCTAAAATATAATACGGAAAAACAAAAATGAAAACAAGTAATCGCGCCATCACGTAGGGAATAGGAAAAGTAAGGATTAAGGAAGAGGAATCTCGAATTCAGCTGCCAAAAATTCAACTAAAAATAATAACAAAAGATACATAGAAAAGATAATCAAAGGTTTAAAGAAAATAAAACGTAACAAGATTTATATAAAAAACAATAATATTTAAGCTGTTTAATATTCAATTATTATTGAATAATTTAATGCTATTATACAATATCACATTTATTATATATCCATTTGAACATTAAAATATCGCGTCCAACGCGTCACTTTATTTAAAAATAGGAGCACGAAATTCAATCTTAATGAAGACTAATCATTAAGGTTGAATTTTGTGGTAAATCAAATTTGAATTTGGCTCCTAATTTTTAAACGAATAGTAGATTGTACATCACATTAAGAAATTTTAAATTGTAACATTCGTCGAACGAGCATTTATCGGTCATCGAATACATCGAGATAAAAGCTTCTGCACATCTTATGTTGGCTTCTAAAGTTAAAGATTCACCGTTTTCTTGTTCGATTTGTCCCGTACTATCTAAAATCTCAAAATAAACCATTCGGTTGTCTATAACGGTATTAAAATTATAGACTTTTTCCAATGTTGGGTTGGATTCACCGATGTAACGTCTTGTAATAAACCTAACAACCATGGCTAAAATTAAATTAAATTAAATTAAAAAGTAAAGATTGATTTAAAAATTTAAACCTGATTTTCCAATTCCCGCTTGTCCTAAAACAATAACTTTTAAAGTTTTTTGTCTTGGATAAAGTCCTAATTTAACTGAAGAAGATCTAGGTGATATTGCATTCATGTTGATTGAAACTAAAATTTAAAAAAATGATTTTAATTCGTTTTAACGTAAATTAACAATCACGTCAATCAAGTCGAAACATGTTGTTGTGGTACCACCCGTTTACGTAGTACTGCTCACGTAGTATTTATCTCTATAATAATAGGAATATAATAAGTTTACAATATAATAATGTAGGTATCAAAAGTAATGATTCTGTAACTAAAAACCAAACAACCACCAGAGACATGTGTGAATAATAAACATATCAGGGGACGGAACCAGATGGGAACAACCCCTAATTCTCCTTGTCTCTGCGTATATCAAGAAACAGATGGAAACATACTTAGTTATATGATATTTTGCGTGGGAAGCACTGCTGTAAAAACAGAGTTCACTAGGAACAGGGGGGTTAAGCTAGGCATGTGCGATATACATCGATGCATCGGAAACATCGATATTTCCGTTTCGATGCATCGGTTCCATTCGATATATGAATTTATTCAATACATCGAATTAAAAAAAAATCTGAGAAAGTGTAAACTATAGACTAGGAAAAAATTTCTGATGCTTTTTGTATTAAAACTAAATCTGATAATTGTTGCCAGTTATGCAAAAGGCCATAAATTGAATAAACTAAAGAAGAACTAGATCTGGTTTTATTGCAGTTTTACGGTTGGTGTTGGTACTGTTTGTATTATTTTCTTGGTGACTTTAATGATGAAATCTGTCAAAAAAGTGTAGGAATAGGTTACGTTTTTATCTTATATTACGTATATTCTCTTCGTATTTACAAACGCAAATCGAATTTAGTTTTGGTAAGTTACAATGTTTAACCTATAATGAAACAGTTATAATTAATGTATAACCTATAATAAAAAGTTATAATTGTTATTTTGTGTTATAGTAAAGAAATTTTTGGTTTTAGTAATTTATATAAAAATGTGTCTTCAGTTTTTTTAATACTGCATAATCTTATTTTAGAACCCAATATGGCTCCTAATAAAAAAAGTAGTGTTTGGACTGTTTTTATTAAAATTGATGAAAAAACAGCAAAGTGTAAACTTTGTCAAAAAAATATTAAATCAGCTGGCAATACAACTAATTTGATGGGACATATCCGAAACATTCACAAAGCCACCTACTTGGAAATTGGTCAGCAAGAAACTAAAGAAAGAGGAAAGACACAGGTGAAACTTAATGATGAAGAGGCACTATCTGTACCGTTTTCTTCTACCTCTGCGTCCTGTCAAAGTTCACAACAACCGTCAACTTCGAAAGAAGTTAAATCATCATTGGCTGATGAGGATGAACCTGATGAATCAGCATTGGCAGAATCCATCCTTTCAATTAAAAGAAAAATTAATGAACAAAATGAAGGCGGATCTAATGAAAACGTAATTAAGCGACAGAAAACAATTACATCCAGTTTTGAAGATATGTGTGCCTTCACATCATCAGGAAACAAAACAAAACGTTTCAATAATGCCTTATTATTCATGATCTGCACACATGCAAAGCATGTGTTTAAGGTAGTAGCTCCACAATACAAACTGCCGTCTATAAGTACAATAACCAGATGGGTTGATGAAAGATATGATTGTTTATCTAAATTGTACAGTAATAAGTTGAAAGAAGTGCAGAATATTACTTTAACAACTGACATCTGGTCAGATAGTATGCAAATGCGTAGTTTTTTGGGTGTCACAGCTCACTTTGGAATTAATACTGAAATCCATTCGATTACATTAGGAGTATATGAACTTGACAACAGACATACTTTAGAGTATATATCTGAGAAAATTCTAAATACATGTATGGAGTGGGGAATCGAGAAAGAAAAAGTATCCGCAGTGGTAACTGATAATGCTGCTAATATGGTGAAAGCTATTGATATAGCTTTTACAAAAAGAAAGCACATTCCCTGCTTTGCTCATACATTAAATTTAGTCGTTCAAACTGTCCTTCAATATAAAGACCTGCAGGAGATTATAATGAAAATGAAGGCCATTGTCACCTGGTTCAAACAAAGTTGCATAGCCAGTGACGAACTAAGAAAAGCCCATCCGAAAAGAAATTAATACAAGATGTGCCAACTAGGTGGAACAGCACCTATTACATGATGGAAAGATTTTTGGAGCTTCGGAGTTATATCAATGACATCGTAATAAGGCATAAATCTGCACCTTCTATGCTGAGTGGACTGGAGTTAAGCATTGTTGCTGCTGTAGTTCCAGTACTGAGATCGTTAGAAGCTGCCACTAGAGAAATTTCGGCTGAAAAATTCAGCACAAGCAGCAAAATAATACCATTGGTGCAGTGTATTACTTCGAAGTTACGATCACTTATAATTGAAGAACCTGTTGCGAAAGAAGTTCAAAATCTCATGTTAAGAGAAATTAATAGAAGAATGGGTACTATAGAGCAAGTAACACCATTAGCGATTGCCACTGCTTTAGATCCACGTTTTAAGAAAATGCATTTCAATGACCCAATTGCATGTGTGAATGCTGTTCAAAAAATTAAAGAACTTTTTTTTTTTTTTTACACCACAAGAAGGAGAATCATTTGAAACCGATTCCGATACTTCCGATAAAACTGAGGAAAGTTTTAGCCTCTGGGCCGACCATCACAAATTGGTTCACAAAAACTGGAAAGACAGCAAGAGTGAGAATAGTCTTTCCGATGAAATTTCGGTTTATTTAAAAAGTCCAGTTGGCAGATTGGGTGAAAATCCTCTCGAAATATGGAATGAACTAAAAATTCAATTTCCTAAATTATATAACGTGGCACATAAACATTTAACAATAGTGGCAACTTCTGTTCCATCTGAGAGGTTATTCTCAAAAGCAGCACTGACTTTAAATCAGCAAAGAAACCGCCTTAAGCCTAAAAGGTTAAGCAAAATTCTGTTTTTACAGAGTTTACCAAAATCATATTGGGACATTTAATTTGGTCTTACTTAGTCTTAGTAATTGTTTGTCTTAGTCTTATCGTTTATTTATGTCTTTACATTTATTGTATTAGTTATAAACACGTTTTTAAAAATAATGTTTTTTAAATTAAATGCACCTCTTTGTTTTGCAATATTTTCGATTTTAGAATAACCTATATTATTATATTATTCGATGTATTCGATACATCGATATTTTCATTCGATATATCGTTATACATCGATGTCTCTTTACGATGCATTACATCAAAGAAAACATCGATGTATTTTTTTAATGAGATTCCCTAGGTGTGGCAACCACCACAATTATAAATTAAATCATAAATGAATAAATCATAGTAATAAGTTCTTTTTTAAACAAAAATTGTAAATCCATAGTGATACAAAAAGTGTTGTTTATTATTACTACAAAATAAAAAGTCAAGTCACGTTGTAACGCAAATTGGTTTTACTCTCTTTATAAATTGTCCCACAAATTGGTGACCACGAACAAGAACTAACCCGACATCGAAAAAGAAGTAACCCAACGTTAAGTTATAAGAACCAATAAGAACCCGACGTTTTGGAGAAAGAAGTGAAAGATTTGACGTAAATTAGAATTGTCTTCGTCGTTTTCTTCATCCAATTCTCCCCAACCTCGCACCAGTGACCGAGCCTGCTATTTTTCCACAACCACAACGACTTGGTGATACCTATCCAGCGACCATCCACGAGTCTACATCCNATTGTCAACTAAACGAAAATTAGTCCAAATTAACAATGCATTAGAAATATTAAGGGTTTTCATCAAAAATTGTTCACACTCTTTCAACAAAGTATTTACGAACCACAACCGTGAAATATGGAGTATGTTCTGTAATCAGATTTATTTAAAATTAAGTTTTGTAAAGCTACACGATTGTGGCAACCACCACAATTATAAATTAAATCATAAATGAATTCATTAAAATATAAATCATAGTAATAAGTTCTTTTTTAACAAAAATTGTAAATCCATGGAGATACAAAAAGTGTTGTTTATTATTATTATTATAAAATAAAAAGTCAAGTCACGTTGTAACGCAAATTGGTTTTACTCTCTTTTTAAATTATCCCACAAATTGGTGACCCCGAACAAGAACTAACCCGACATCGAAAAAGAAGTAACCCAACGTTAAGTTATAAGAACCAATAAGAACCCGACGTTTTGGAGAAAGAAGTGAAAGATTTGACGTAAATTAGAATTGTCTTGCCTGCTATTTTTCCACAACCACAACGACTTGGTGATACCTATCCAGCGACCATCCACGAGTCTACATCCGGATTTTTAGAGACGAAACCTACATTGCAGGTATTTCGATTTCTAGTAAGGGTTAATAAGTGTTGATCAGCAATATAATTATTTGAACCTAAATAAGTATCCTACCACAATCATGAATACTTCTGGTGATCAAAGCATTGACATTGTCACCAATATTAAATTGCCTCCCTTCTGGAATGCAAATCCTGCTGCATGGTTTCACCAAATTGAAGCGCAATTCAACCTGTCAAGAATAACTAATGATAAAACAAAATATAATTTGGTAATTACGCATTTGCCTACCGAGATAGTTTCGATTGTTTATGACGTCGTAGATGCTCCACCGGATATCGATTCATACTTATATTTAAAAAACACTTTGATCAATAGGCTTTCTCTAAGTGAAGAGGAACGTCTTGATGATCTCCTTTCCGACTCTCAGATGGGAGATCAAAAACCATCTGATTTCTATAGGAGTATGTTATCGACAGTCGGTGGATCGCAAGTCGTAAGTCCAAATTTATTGCTAAAACTTTGGCAGAGAAGATTGCCCCAAACTATCTCGGTAGCGTTATATTGTCTTCAGGTAAAGATGACATCAATGATTTGCTTAACATAGCCGATAAAATCTGGGATTCATTATCTTTTTCAACGACTCGTTTTCCTAAAACTGAAGTCAACAAAATTAACGACGAGTCCTCTTCCAATGTGCATACAACTTCTCAATTGTTACAAGCCATAAATAACCTTTCAGTTTCTATTGATAAAAACTCACAACAACTTCATCAATGGCAATCAAATATCCAGACGAGCATTAACTCTCTTGCTGCTCGACTTAACGAACCTGAACAAGCAACAAATCTTTGCTATAATTGTAAGAAGTTAAGGTATCGATCACCCCGTCCAAGAAGTTCTTCGAGGCAACGTCAAAACCATATCTGTTATTATCATTCCAAGTATGGCGATAAAGCACGAAACTGCGAAAACGAATGTATGTTTTATAATTCCTTTAAAGACACAAATCTTTCATCATCTTCACAGAACCAAAAAAACTGAAACAAGTTTCGCTAGAGAACAACAATTCAATAAATTCAAAACATGATTCAAAACAATTCAATGAACGACGAACGCACCCGATAATTAATCAAATCAGTTCTCGTCTTTATGTTTACGATAACCAATCCAATTTAAATTTTCTGATTGATACAGGAGCAGACATCTCTGTGCTGCCTTATAAATTCTTTCGTAAACATAAGAGAGATACCATTTCTACATTAACGGCTGCAAATGGTACGCCAATAATTACCTATGGAAAAAAATTGTTAACATTAACATTGCAATTAAGAAGAAATTTTCCACATGTTTTCACAATTGCTGATGTCAACAAACCAATTATTGGCGCTGATTTCTTAAACAAATTCGACATTATCGTCGACATCAAAAATCGTCGTTTAATTGATAATACTACCAAATTATCTTCAATAGGTAGCATCAAAAAATCTTTTATACCAATACCCAAACTCTTCTCTATCGAAACTAAATTCACTTCTCTCGTTAAATCTTTCCCAAAATTAACTTCATCACCTAATTTTTTATCTCCAATTAAACACGCAACGCAACATCGAATCATTATAAACACTCACTTGCCGTTTTGTCGTCCAAGACGTTTAGACCCCATAAAATTTTCTATCGCTAAAAAAGAATTTGAACACATGGTATCACTTGGAATCTGTCGGCCATCTTCTTCACAAGTTTCTTCCCTATTGTACATGGTGCCTAAAAAAGATTCGAATGATTGGCGGCCATGTGGCGACTATCGTCAATTGAACCTTGCCACAATACCTGATCGCTATCCATTACCTCATATCCATGACTTCAATCTGCATCTTCATGGTTGTACAATATTTTCTAAAGTCGATCTTGTACGTGCATACCATCAGGTACCTGTGGCTGAAGAAGATATTCCCAAAACAGCGATTTCAACACCATTTGGCTTATTCGAATTTTTGAGAATACCCTTTGGCCTCAAAAATGCCGCCCAAACGTTCCAACGCTTCATGAACGAAGTACTTTCTGGTCTCGATTTCATTTTTGTCTATTTAGATGATATCCTTGTCGCAAGTAAAAACGAAGAAGACCATTTACTTCACTTATCAACACTCTTTGAGAGGTTAACCGCTTACGGTATCAATATCCAACCCTCAAAATGTCTTTTTAGAGTTTCCTCTTTAGATTTCCTTGCGCATGAAATCTCTTCAGAAGGAATCCGCCCTTCTCAATTGAAAGTAAAATCTATTAATGATTTTCCAGGAACTTCAAAGATTTTTAGGGATGATAAACTACTTTCACAGGTTCGTACCAAATTTTTCAGAGATATTACGACCTCTTTATAATTTGGCAACTTCCCTTCGTTCCAAAACACAACTTATACTTTGGTCTCAAGAAAATTCCAATTCTTTTGTTTCGGCCAAAAGTGCTTTAGCAAATTCGATCGCTTTAGCTCATCCTTGCCCTGGTGCTGCTTCCGACACTGCTATGGGAGCCGTTCTTTCGCAAGCAGTTGATAATTTTACAGCACCACTTGCTTTTTATTCAAAAAAGCTCACTTCTACTCAATCGAAATATTCCACTTTTGATCGTGAATTATTGGCAATTTATTCCGCCATTAAATTTTTTAAGCATTACCTACATGGAAATCATTTTACAATTTTTACTGATCACAAACCGTTAATAAATTCCTTTTTTAGTCTTTCAGATAAAACTCCTCGCCAAACCAAAAAATTGTAAATCCATGGAGATACAAAAAATGTTTATTATTATTATTACAAAATAAAAAGTCAAGTCACGTTGTAACGCAAATTGGTTTTACTCTCTTTTTAAATTGTCCCACACTGAAGAAGCATGGAAAAGAGTATTGGCGAAAGATTCATCGATTGGTGAAAAAGCTAGCGTATGGTTTGTTACTAATACGATGAAAGTAAAACGAAAGTTAGGTGTCGGTTTGAAGAATCCGAAAAAGTATCGGTGTTACAACCGATAAATGCGGTTGGTCGGATAAAACTGATCGGTTAAAACCGGTCGGATAAAACAGATCGGTTAAAACCGATCGGATAAAACGGATCGGTTAAAACCGGCCTGAATAGTTTCAATAAAACTCTACAGTAAGCACATGCATTAGTCAGTAACCGTTCATTCATTGTACAGAAAACATGGACTCAAAACAATTAACACGAAAGCATTAAAATAAAAGCAAATGTGAAAAAGAAATTGGATACATTAAAAGCAAGGAAACATAAATCCGAACATTTGCTTCAACAGCAATATAAAGCAGTAACAACCCCTTTAGAAAAAATAATTTCCACAATTAAACATCCTATTAAAGTTAAGAAGGAGGAGGAGGAGGAGCTTAAATCGGAGGAAGTTAAAGAAGAAGAATTTAAAACAGTAATACCTACAAAGAAAAGAAGAGTATCAGAAGCCCTCAATTAAACATCCTATTAAAGTTAAGAAGGAGGAGGAGGAGGAGCTTAAATCGGAGAATTTAAAACAGTAATACCTACAAAGAAAAGAAGAGTATCAGAAGCAGTACAAGCATCACGTCTACCAGAACTTCATCGACAACAACAACAGCCTCAATCACCAACAATATCAATATTAAGCGATGATGATGAAGATGTTTTTGCAACATCTCCATCACCACCACCGCAACCAACGCAAACATCACCACCTGCAGCAGCAGCAGCGACAGCAGCAGATGTATCTCCATTACCAGAAACTATGAATATTCCTGAAGAATCATTTTTCTTATACTTGGAACAATTTGCTCCTCTAACAAGATCTTACATTGAGGGCTATGTAAGAGATGATAGCAATGAATTCGATTCCAGCAACAAGGGAGTTCATGTTGATATTTTAACTGATAAATATACCATTGGAAATAGTGAAATATTCTTTAGTAGTAAAACGAATGATATAACCATTGCAAATAAAACTTATAAGGGTACGAAAGGTCTGTATGAGCTAATCTTCAAGAGGGAACCAGAACAATATACCAGTGATGATCAAAAGAATTACGTTGAAATACTTAAAACAACAGCAGCATTAAACAAAAATCAAGATAAAAGCAAACAAATTATGGGTGACAAGTCGGACAAGTATCGTCAAATAATTGCACCTGTTTTAAATACAACGGAAGGAGTTGTACGACGGAGCAGAGTAAAAAGCGTTCCTGTTCGTATGAGAACTGGTGAAGGTCTCATGCA